ATCCAACATCCATCCATCCATCCATCGTCCATCCATCATCAATAAATCCATCCATCCACCCATCCATCATCCAACATCCATCCATCCATCCATCGTCCATCCATCATCAATAAATCCATCCATCCATCATCCATCATCCAACATCCATCCATCCATCCATCCATCATCCATCATCCATCCATCCTTCCATCATCCATCATCCATCCTTCATCCGTCCAACATCCATGCATCTATATATTTATCCATCCATCCATCCATCCATCCACCATCATCAATCCATCCATCATACATCCATCCATCATATATACATCCATCGTCCATCCATCATCAATAAATCCATCCATCCGTCCACCCATCCATCATCCATCCATCCATCCTTCATCCATCATCCGTCCATATATACATTTATCTATCCATCCATACATCCATCCATCCTTCATCCATCCATCTATAAATTTATCCTTCCATCATCCATCCAGCATCCATCCATCCATCTATATATTTATCCATCCATCATCCATTCATCATCCATCCATCCATATATTTATCCATCCGTCATCCATCCATCATCCATATATTTATCCATCCATCATCCATCCATGTTCTGAGTTGGGTTGCAGGTGCAGGCTGCGCAGCAGTTTGAGCAGGGAAGTCCAGACCTCTTATCAGCCACCTCTTCCAGCTCTTCTTGGAATACTCCAAGGTGTTCCCAGGCCAACCAAAAGACATAGTCTTCCCAACGTGTCCTGGGTCTCCTCCCATTTGGACATGCCTGAAGCACCTCCCTAGGGAGGCGTCCAGGAGGCATCCTGACCAGGGGTCGGATTTATAAAACGCACAATTTGAGACCAGAAATATGCGTACGCATGGTTTTATAAATCTGAATTTTTTTTGGCATAAGCCATTTCCACCTTTTGGCCGTACATTCACTTTTAGTATGGTTTCCACGCAATCTTTTATAAATGAGACCCCAGATGTCCAAACCACCTCAACTGGCTCCTATGGATGTGGAGGAGCAGCAGAGTGTCTACTGGATAACTGAACTTCTTACCTTATCTCTAAGGGAGAGTCCAGTTACCCTGTGGAGAAAACTCATTTTGACCACTTGTATCCACGATGTCTTAGTCACCACCCRAAGCTTGTGAGCATAAGTGAGGGTAGGAACGTAGACTGATAAGTTAACTGAGAGCTTTGCCTTACAKCTCAGCTCCCTCTTCACCACATCAGACCGGTACAGAGTCTGTAAAACTGTGGAAGCTGCACCGACCCATCTATCAATCTCCCGCTACATTCTTCCCTCACTGTGAACAAGAACCTGAGATACGTGAACTCCTCCACTTGAGGAAGAACTTCACCCCACCCTTTTCTGACTGAGGACCATGGACTCAGATTTGGAGGTGCTGATCCTCATCCCAGCTGTGAACTGACTCAGTGAGAGCTGAAGATCCTGGAACGATGATGCCAACAGAACAACATCATCTGCAAACAGCAGACATTAATTTAAAAAAGCTACTCACCACTGAAACAGAATTATCTCCAGAACGTGTTGCTGATTCTAAACAAGTAATGAAAGAAACAGCTTAAAGTCACAGATATTAAAGTGACTTTTTTAAATGACTCATCATCTTCCTGCAGATGACAATCAGTGAAAAACAAGTTATATAGGAAGGAAGCAGAAACTTCCTGTGATCTGATAAATGGGGCCTAGAATGTTTTTTTTAACTTTCATTCTAAAATCAAAAGTTCATAAACTTTTAAATATCTTTAGAACCAAGAAAGTTTGTTTTGGTGAAGTTTCCAAGAAGAAGCACTTCTTGATTATTGCTGCACATTTTTGGTGGGTAAAGGATGGGTTTAGTGACAAAACACTTTTTAAAAGCTATTTAAAAGCACTGTTTGTGTAGAAGATACATTTATTTTGTGTTTTTATTCTGTATATTAGATCTGTGATGTCAGGATGACTGTTTTTGTTCTGTTTTCAGTTTTCTTTCTACGATGAGTTTGATTGTGCTCTCATCCAACTGAGAGTCTTTCACAACATATACTCCAAGTGCTAAAAGATTAAGCAAGATTATATGGTGTGTGTGACTGCATGTCTTCAATATTAAACCAAAAATACCTGTCATTTTGCAAACATATAAAGTGCAAAAATTGATGTGTGTGTGTGTGTGTGTGTGTGTGTGTGTGTGT